AAGATGAATAAAATATATGGTCTCGGGAATATCGGGCGGTCCCCGCTCCCGGTGTGGGCCCCACGAGCGAATTTACAATTCACACAAAAGAATAATAGAAATTCACAACTTTGTATATTCTTTAACCACTCCATATGGTTAAATACATTATTCACTTAAAAGTAAAATACATCTGGGAACGGTGTTACAACACAACTCTACTTATAAAACAAGAGTTGCCTCTCTTCTTCAAGAGTGGGGGACTAGGGGACTAGACCTCGACTAAACATAAAAAATGAAAAAAAAGGCAAATGTTCTCACCAACGGAGGATTCACTACATGTTGGTCAAGCTCGAAGAATGCAAAAGAAACATATTTTCAAATCAGAACAAAAATCAACAGAAAGCTCTACTCTCTTTCACCTTGACATCCCTTGGCTCAGAGAGTAGGGGACTCCTGATAAAATATATGGGCTCTGGTCATGACCCATATACTCATACTAGTTTCGCCACGCACGTTGCGCGATTAGAATAATGGCCAATGAGATCTTATAACTTGAACATTTGGCTATTGTTTCCGTGACTACTACAAAAATGATACATATAGAAGGAAAAAATGAATGCAAAATTGAAGAGAATCATATGATAAGTAATAAATTACTCCCTCCGTCCCGCTAAGATTATCTCAACTTTCCTTTTCGGTTCGCCCCACTAAAATTATCTAATATCAAACTTCATAAAATTTGTGTGATTCTAAAAATCTTTACTTTATTAATTCAATATGAATCACATGAACTCATTTTTCTTAATATCCGCACCACCTCCTTGTGTGCATATTAGTGAGACAGATGTAAATTACGTCAAACCCAATCTAAAAAATGGAACATGCAGCAGTGAAATAAAGGAGATATAATGTCTTTTGACAGGGAGAGAGTGCACTTTATGGAAATATGACTACACAATGGCTAAATCTTATATATAAACTTGATATCACACCAACACTTTTTACATGCCAAAGTGACTTCGCTGTCAAAGTGACTCCGCCACCATTGTGACTAAGATCATAGTGACTTCCGCCAAAGTAATCTCGGTGAGTGTTAGCCACAATGGCTAAAGACATGTATCGTTACACACATGCCCACGGTGGACACCTCATCCTGGATCAACCCAGACAGAAGCCCACTCAAGGCAAAGGAAACAACGGGGATGAGTGCCCAAGCACCTCGTCTTGCCGGGGCACCTCGTCCACCAACTCAACATATCATCAGTGAATGCCACACTTCACATTCTGCCGCATAGGAGGGCTTTTGCCCATAGAATAGCTCACACTTGTACATGTATTTAATGCACATAGCATTTACTACTAGTATAAATACCCCTGGGGCAGATATAAACATTTTTTAAATCAATTATTATCATATTACTTTTTCTCTAACTCGTAACTTTGCCTTCTATATATCACAAGTACATAGAACCTTATAGTTTAATCAACTCTCCTCCCCACTCACTACTTATAACTCACAAGTCCCAAGTCACACGCACAAAGAGGCCACAATGGATTGGATTAGCGAGAGAAAAAGAGTTGCCAAGCTCATACACAACTTTCCCCATATTAGATTAAAATAATCATCATATTTCTATATATCTCTTATGCCACATAGGATAGAAATAAATATAGACAATGTTTATTAATGTCTCCAGATGGCCGGACATTACACGAAATCGAGGAGCAAAAGTGAATAAAAAGTCGAATAAATGTGATACAAAAAATGAAAACTAAAATAAATATAGATAATAATTACACTACACTATAAATGGCTTAAGGCAACACTAAAACAATATTCTCTAAAAAACCAAAAGCAACACATTTAAACGCAAAAAGATATTGCAACAGTAGGAGCAACACTTAGCATGCAATATTTTTTTATTATTTTAAAACCACAATTTGATTAAAAAATTGTCACGGTTTTAAATTAAAAAGGCATTACTTGCATCTCTTGCAAGTCATTTTTAAGTAGTGATGCACCTGCTATTATTTATAAGTTGATTACAATCAATTATCACATGGTGGAACACTGAACATGTCAATTTATCTACTACGTAATAACTAGGTCCTAGAAAAAATAATAAATCCACAAAAATCCTTCATCCATTCACAAGTGTGTAACTGTGTACCATAACAATTACAATCCAAACAAATGTTCAATAAGTTCACATCCAGGGTCCCCTGTTTTAAATGCCAAAATTCCTACAATGTTCTAAGCCAAAGCATAGTCAGTCTCCATAAATCGGAACAAAGAGCACACATCATCAACACCTGAAACAAAATAAAAAAAATTAACAGGGAAATGAATCTGAAAATGCCAACTATAATGCTTAAGTCATTGTTAAAGAGTAAAAAGAAGTGGGCAAAGATAAAATTAATCGTTTGCTTTATCCATTTTTATTGTCTAAGCTCTATTAGGGTACCTTAATCAGAGCACCTTTTCACTCATTCACCAGTTCATCAACAGTCTTCAGCAAAACAAAGCAACAATATTCTACTTCCTGCATTAAAGATTAAAAATAACATAAACTTATTGGAAATAAAACATTAAAGCCCACTGCTTCATTGGAATCAATAGGTTCAAAGGTTATATGAAACTGTTGTAAAAGCTTGCTTGTTGAATCGATTGTTATTAGGCATTGAACAAGGTATAAGTCATGGATTGAACCAAAATGTAGAGCATTAAAACAACAAAAGCAATGAGAATAAATATAGGTGAATGGAGTCCTCTTTGAATTTAAACTCTTCATAATCAATAAAAGTTATTAAAATAACACATCCCAAACTATATAAACGATACCTCCAAGCCTCCATGTCTCCACTCACTGATTCTTTATAATCATTTTGAACAAAAATACATTTATTTTGTGCACCACAAAAGTTGCTGTCAATTAGGCAAGCATCTGTATTCTGTAGAGTCAAAACTTAATAAAAGTTTTATTCATATGATGTTCTCTAGGTATGAATCTCATACAGATTTCAGACCAATGGACATAATTAGAATATGTGTAATCCATATCTTACACAGGTTATATACCTAGAGCAATATATACACAAAACTACATGTGTAAGCCTTTAAAGCCTTGCATTAACGAATTACATCAATGTAGAACAAAATTTACCTTCAAAAGGAAGTAAATAATATCAGGATTCATATTATACTTGCTTCATAAGATTAGGCAGAACAATAGCAGTTTACCCTTTTGAATTCCTTTAATTTTGACAATGTAAACCCTATCATTTTATCTAAGAGGATCCCGAACATTAAAATCCTGAGTTTAGAAGATCGAATGAGAGTATGAGACTAAACTTTAAAATCTGAGTTTAGGCAGAACTTCAATATTTACATTTAGAAGATCAAATGAGACTAAACTCAAAATTCCTGCCCGAGGTTCGTACTTCATGGTTCGTACCTCGTAACTTTGTATAATCAAAATCAAAGTGAAAGAATAAACTCCAGATTAACAATTTTAAAAACCTGGAATCCGGATATTGGAAGTCGGGCGAATCTCTAACGAATAGGTAGGCTAGGGCCTGGAAGCCGGTCGTATCTGGGCTTCGTTGACGGTTGATGATCGACGACCGTCTCTTCGACCACGAAAGACGATCGACGACGACACAATACCATACATTTCTCTGTGCGTCGGATCCGAAAGGCGTAAGAATGAAGCGCCGTTTGATATTTTTAGGTCTAGCAGACTTGGATGTTTTTATTTTTAGTCCTAAATTTCTTTAAATTTTTAGGGAGGGAGGGGATCATTAAAAGTTTTACTCCTATCATTTTCCATCCAATATTTTTATCAATATGAATAACCTAAATACCACTTTTTCATTGGGAAGTTTTGTACTTTTAATATTATCTAATTAAACGAATGATAAGTTGTTCTCTTCACAATATTTTTTATGTGAATTTTTAAGTTCTGATTTGATTTGATCTGATTTTTTTATATGATCTTATCTGAATCTTTCTGACCTGATCTAATTTTTTTGGGTCTGGTCTGATCTAAACAAAATAAGAATAACAAATAAGTAATACGAATAAGACGAAGATAACATCTTCTAAGTTAAAGAAGAGTATGATATTTATGGTAGATCTTATTTGATCTGGTTTTTTTAAGTCAGGTCTGATTTGGTAGATGTTCGGTTTTTGTATATTTCATAACTATCAAAGTATAATCTGATCTAAGACTGAAATAAGTCTAAATCAAAACATCTTTTCACATTTTGCAGTAATTACTCCAATTTTGAAATTCTCAAATATTTGTACTCCTAATTAGGACGTACGATAGTATTTTATTAAAAAAAATTATTTTGTTTTGTGTCACTTTCAGGATGTTTTTAATTAGATTTTAGTTTTCATACCTGGTCTTGTAGATCTTTGTTCTACGTATTTTTACAGTTGTTAAAGTTTGGTATAATGTGTTTAAATCTGCTCAAATCTAATCTTATTTGAACTGAATCCGGTCTAATTAGAAAAATCTTTAATACACCATGAGCTTCTGTTTTAATGTTGCTAAACATACACTGTAGTGTGAATTTTAGTTCAAGAAGGTACATGGGCAACATTACTTAAAAAATGTTGCATTAGAGTATATTTAACATTTATAAACATATGAATGGCAACACTTATCAAATAGATGTTGCATTAGAGTATGTTTAACACCTATAATCATATCTATGGCAACATTTCTTAATGAATGATGCCTTAGCCCTATCTCATATAAAGAACATCCACATTTTTGAAGCAACACTTCAAATTTGTGTTGTTATAGGTCATATATGGTGTAGTATAAGTTGGTGGTATTTATAAAATTTGTAAGATAAAAAATGGAATCCAGGGATATTGTATGGGTTCGCACCAAATTTGAGGTGAAAAGTTCAAAAAAACATTTTCAGCCCATGGGTTCGCAACCTGCAGCCTAAGTTGACAAGTATATATATAGAACCCTATACTATACTCCAATCAACTTTTCCTCCCCACTCATAAGTCCTAACTCACACGCACAAAGACACCACAGCAGATGATCTAAGAGAGAAAGAGAGAGAGATGAGAAGCGCATCCCAAGCCACACTAGACCACATCTTGTTTCAGGAGGATCAAGATCATATGTCATCCCTGCAACAGCTTCAGTCTTTATGCTGCAATAATAATAATACCACTCTTCCATTTGAGACTCTAAAAACCCTCATCACACCCTCTCTTGCCCCACTGCCTTCTCTCCATGAATCTTCATCCCCTCATCATAATAACCTTCATCAAAGAGACGGCATATCTTCCCACTTTGGAGCACCCCAACTCCTTTCCTTGCAGAGATCCACTCCATACTTGTGGTAATTAATAAATTTCAGAAATTATATATAGCTACCTATTAAAAAGCCAATTAAGGGAGTGATCAGAATTTCTTTTCTATGATCTGAGTTAATTTTTTTTTAGTTAGCTAGGCTTTTGGTCTGTTTATTACTCCCTTCCTCCCTTAAAATTCTTTTCACTTTCCTTGTTGGGACGTTCCAAAAAATTCTCCTCATTTCCCTTTTTGGAAAGTTTCGTGTGGCTATCATTCATTTACCGTTTTCTTACGCAACTACATCTATTCATACATTTTCACTTTATTCTCAATTTCTTAAACTCTGATGATCCAAGTCAAACCGGCAGTTTGCGGGACGGGGGAAGCAATTAATTAGTTTACTGGCAGCTTGCTAAGCTAATTAGGTTCAGATTTAATTTTCTCATATATTCATAGCAGTTAATTAAATTTGCATGTTTATTTGCTTGTATAGAATTGGAATAATAAAAAGCGCATGATTTTATAACTTGAAGAATATTTGTGTGTGTTTTCAATTCTAGGGAATGGGAAGAAATGAATGAGTGCATAAAGAGGAGTAAGAAGTTGGGGGTGACATCATTAGGAGCAGCAGCCATGAAGATGAAGAAGTCAACCAGAAGGAAGGTGAGAGAGCCAAGGTTCAGCTTCAAGACCATGAGTGATGTGGATGTGTTGGATGATGGGTATAAGTGGAGAAAATATGGCCAAAAAGTTGTCAAGAACACCCAACATCCCAGGTTAATTTATTAATAAGTTGCTACTAATAGTCTATTAAATATATTAGGAAGATTCCCAAATATATTAGACTATTAGCTACTATACATATAATTACTGTTTCATTCCTATCTTTACTTTAATTAAGTAACATTACAATGGACAACCTTAATTATATTAAAGCTATATATGTGAATTTCAATCACAAGTCCAATAACACCTATACAATCAATATACCTAGCAAAGCTAGCTAGCTTTGTCATTTTACGTAGTACTCGAGTACAGGAGTAGTAAATTTATAATTAAACTTGCTTTAGTGGGTGTTTGACATATATAGGAGTAGTTAATCCAGTTAAACTAATTGGTCTTTGATAAATTAATACTTTGATTTAGTGTATACACCTTCTCGAAGGATTTGGTCGTTTGCTCGAAAGCGAGGAATTAATAAAAATCAATATTCACGATTTTTAGGGTGCAATTAAACATGTCCAAAAACTAATTAATTACATGGAGTGATCGACTTTCCGCCTTTTAGAAAATGCTTAAACTTTTACGGATTTTTTTCAAAAATGTTGTTACAGTTCAGAACTCCAAGACTGTACGTAGTACGGAGCCCGATCAACGGGACCTATTTTCTGCCTATCAGGCCCATTTCGGCCCATCCGGCCCATTAGGTTAGGCTTTTCCCCTATCCCTTTTTCCCTATAAATAGGAGGCTTTCCCTCCATGTAAAGGAACTTTTGGTTGGCAACTTATTAGCCTTAGCATTCCTAGCTTATAACTCGCAGCTCTTCAACTGCAGTACAGGACGAACAGCCTTCGGTCTTAGTAAGTGTATTGTATCGGGGCGTTATTCATCATTAATAATATCTGATCCTTTATTTGCTCATCATTCTCTTAGCCCATCTTACTTGCTGTGGGATGAGTTAATCATTCGCACTAAAACAATCCACTCGAAATTCTTGGGCTTACGTGTTGGACCCGAGGGTTGAAGGAATAAACCTCAACAAATATTATAAAATGAACATAAGTTAATATGATTTCATTATTACTCTAGTCACTGGTCACATTTTTATAAACATCATTTATTTTAGTCATAAATATGTACTCCCTCCGTCCCAGGGAGAAGTTCCCGGGTTGACTTTTACACATATTTAGGAAATAAAGTTACTGAGGGGTAAATTTTACTGTTTGGCACTGTTTCGACACTGTTTGGCACTGTTTCGACACTGTTTGGCACTGTTTTGCACTGTTTGACACTGTTTTGATGTAGGATAACTTTCCATTTAAGGAAATGGGAACTTTTTGTTGGGACTACCAAAAAAGGAAAGTGGGAACTTCTCCCTGGGACGGAGGGAGTAATATATTACATGGAGTGATCGACTTTCCACTTTTAGAAAATGCTTAAACTTTTATGGATTTTTTTCAAAAATATTATAAAAACATACTTATTTATAAAAATATGACTAATAGTTACTACAATAATGTAGTGTCATAGTAACCTAAGTTTATAAAATTAAAATAAGTTACTATGATTTCATTACTACTCTAGTCACTGGTCACATTTTTGTAAACATCGTTTATTTTAGTCATAAGTATGTAATTATTAGTCACATACTAATTGGAATTACAAATCAAATAAAATATTAAATCACTTGCAACCTGTATATGGAGTGGTTTGTGATTAAAATCAAGAGTTTCACCTAAAATAATTTAAGATGCGTGTGTTTGTTGGTTGAGGCATATATATATATAGAGAGAGCTATTCCTGTCCGGAAATTCCGGACAGGAGCCCCATCCGGACTCCTCCATTTGGGGGGCCTTCCCGGTGGTATTTTTTGCTCAAATATTTTGTGTATGTTCCTCATCAAGTCTAGTTCATCCATACCAATTTTGAGCAAATCATTCAATCGGGAAGGCCGTCAAATGATTTTTGCAAGTTAACTGGTCCGGAAAATACATATTCCGGACCAGTTAACTTGCAAAAATCATTTGATGACCTTCCCGATTGAATTTGTTTCTGAAATTTGGTATGGATGAACTAGACTTGACGAGAACAAATGGAGGAGGGCGGACGGGGCTCCGGTCAGGAATTTCCTGACCGGAATATTTGTGATATATATATATATATATATATAGGAGGAGATCGGAAGAGGGCTTGGAATGTATGTAACGCGAAATGTGAAATCAGACATGCGGAAATCATTATTTTTAGACAAAACTGGCAAGGGAATTTTGATAAAAGTTCCTTAAAACGTTTATAAAAGTTGAAATAATTACATATTTATAATTAAAATTAAGATTGTTTACAAAAATATGACTAGTGACTAGAGTGTAACTTATGTTCAATTTTTACTTCTAAGTGACAATGACACCATACTCATATATACTAAATTTAGACATATTTTGTAAATAAATTTTATTTCAATGATTTTTTTGATTTTTTAATAGTTCCACAGTCCTTATGTTTCTAATTCTACGTGTCTAATTTTTTTTCAGCATTCAGAATATTGATTTTTCACAGTTCAAATAAAAATCAAGCAAAAAAAGAAACAAATGATATGCAACGGTAGTTAATTAGTTATTGATATACTTTCATTTTCATTAATCTCAATATAAACATAACACACACATTAGAAAAAAATGGTCATATGTAAAATAATTAGCCAAATCCAACATGAATATAATACGGAGTACTATTTATGATCGATATATAAACAAATAAATATTATTGAAATTAGAGTATAAAATTATCCAAATCAAATCGAATAGCTTAGACAAATATGTATATTTGACTCATGCATTCAGATTCATTTACAAGCAAACTCAATCATAGAGGAAGTATGTGTTTGGATATTTATTATATTAGCTTCATACATGTGAATGAATGAATGAATGTAATAAACGATTGATGGGACGTAGGTTAACTGTAGAGAATTTTAAAACTAGTTATAAATTAAGGAGAACTTGAGATTCAGAAAGAAACGATTAATTGAGAACTTATCTTTTTGAAAGAATGTGGCTTATATTAAAATAACAAATTGAGAGTTTATCTAAAATTAATTTCTTGACAAAAGTACCTTATATAAAAAATGGTTTAATCTTAAACACTAAACAAATGAGGTGAACCCATAAAATGACCTAGAAGAGTCTAGGTTCACTTCGAAGTAAATGGTCCATTATACGTAGTATTAGAGTTTCATATATAGGAAAATGCTCCCACAATTGATCAGTTGGAACATTGTACAATAGCTTGAGATCTAATTAATTTAAGTATCAACCATACAAAAAAAGATGAAAAACATGGAGTAATTTCCTAATTAACTCTGCTGTCGAAAAGTGTAATACTCCTATTTCGCTATTTGAATAGCAAATACAACAAAAAGAATCTAAAAAAAGGATGACATATCATCCCTGAGGGGCTCCCAACACCGACCGGACGGCACGATGAGAGGATGTAAATTGGACTATAATCACAATCTGACAGATAGAGAGTGAGGCTCCGTTCCCGGTACTTGCAGAGGCCCTCTATTAAGTAAGCTCTCATCGCAGTTGCCGGGAGTCGAACCCGGAATCTAACCCTTGTGACACTCTCTCATTACCAGTTGAGTTACGTCCACCGGTTCAAAAAGAATCTAAAAGATTCTATAGAAAGTACCTTTTCCTGGAAGTTCATTTTGAGGATCCGGGCAATTAGTGCATGTTCAGATGATAATTTAACTACATGTCTTACATGACAATTAAAAAGGTGAATTGAACTTACAAGCAAATTGTTACCTCGTTTTGTTTTTACTTTTTGCTTTTAAAATTTATTTTTTTCAAATATGATTTTAATAAAGTTCCCCATCACAATGATATACGGAGTATATGGTATAATTATTTTCAGCAAATCTTTGTATTTCCAATGCTTTACCACTAAACTCTCACCACTGTAATCATGAGTTTAAGAGTTGGTTCCTAATTCTTTTTTCAACTGGTCTAATATATTACGGAGTGTATATTTTGTTGTCAATTTGGTCTTTGTGCTTTCATTAAAAAGTCAATTAGGTCCTCATACTTTTAAAAAGATCAATCAAATCCCTGAACATTGGACCTAATTGACTTTTTCATGAAAGTACGCTGAACAAATTGACAGTTTTCCCTATTTTTTTTTCAAATAATAGACTTTTAATTTTGCGTAAATTGTGTAATAATCAAAACAAGTAAGACATAAATTGACATTATAATTGAATGACAATATTAACCTGTTTCATATAATACGTAATTTTTATTCATTTTATTACTAAAACATATTTATAACTAATTCGTTTAATCGTTTCTGTCACAATTTGTACAATTTTAGTACATTGCAAATTTTAGTACCAATTTTTAGGTTTGCTCTAAATTATATTGCAAATGTTTTCTTAGACTAATTTATGCGAACCCATGCAGTTAATTACTGGTGTTGAACCCTCTAATGTGAATGTTGTAATACCCAAAATGATTATAGGAACATATATTGATCGATATGAATTTATGGAAGGCGATTTGATACGCTGATGATCTGATAATTATTGCAATGCAATTATGGTGGTTATAATGAACAATATTCATCTGTGGAATTAATCTACACTGTGCTCGAGTAAAAGTTGACCAACAGTGTTTCATAAAAGCCACTGACAACGAAGGCTCTTTCCAGGGTGGTAGTGGAGTTTGGTACTCCGTATTCTTTTTTACTTTAATTATTTCATCATTTTAAAAAGGTTCGCCACTTCACCTTATAAAAACATTTTGTTCATTTTTTTTCCAAATCTAATTATAAGAGCCTATTTGATAACATTAAAATTGGCTGATTGATTCTATTAAAATTTATGAAATTATGGCTTAAGTAGCTGAATTGACTGATTCTGCTGATTTATGAAAAGAAAATATTTAAAATATTTTTTTATTTATAAATAATGAAAAAATTATATGAAAAAATAGCTATAGTCATCTTTTACAGTAACTTCAGTCAATACAACTAGAAAAGTAACTCCAACCTTACTTTTTCTTATTATTATATAATTCAGCGCATGAAATAAAAAGTTACGTGTTTGACGAAAAAATTGATAAGCCGAAAAAAAGAATTACCAAATAGGCACTAAATTTTCATTTCATTATTTCACATACCGTTATATGTTGGCAACACAACAATATACTACAGTCTACAGAGTAGATCTATTTGTAAAAAGAATGAAAATAACCACACACAATGAACTCAATACATTTTTGTAGCAATATCTAGTACGTAGTACTGTAGTAGTATACTAATCGTACGTATTATTTTTGCCGTGGAAGATACTACGTATAAATTACTTGTGCAAAAATTAGGGAATGTTTGGATATGATTCTTAAAACTGTTTCTGCTCTTCCATGAAGCAGAAGCAGAAGCAGAAGTCGAAGTGTTTGGGTGAAAGTGTAGAAGTGATTCTGGTGCTCTAACTTATTCCTGAAATCAGTTTTTTTAGAAGCTGGGGGAGATCCGCTTCTGAAAAACTGATTCTGCTTCTGCTTTAAAAAAGAAGCAGAAGCAGAATCAATTCCAAACACCCCTTACATGGAATCAGTTTTCTTAGTCACTCCAATGCTTTTACATTTACACATTGTTTTCCATGTATAATTTACTTATTTCTAGCCTACACGCGAAGACGGTAGTCTATAGACAAATATAAATAATTTTAATAAATACTCTCTTAGTTCAATTGAACTTTGCCAACTTTCTCTTTTTAGTTACCCCGAAAAACTTTATCGCTTCCCTATTAAAGTAACTAATTTGTGGTTCAACTCATTTCTTTCTCTTCTGCACAAACCACAACCACACAACTTTCACTTTTCTTATTTCTCATATATTTCTAACTTGGAAAAGTTCACCGGGACAGAGGTAATATTAAACATTGTTTAATTCGATGTATGGGTTTTTCTTATTTAAGACTAAACCAAAACAAGCCATTCAATTTGACTATATGGTTACCAAATGGTTTACTTCAGTGAACCCAAATGAATCAAAGTACCACTTTTAAGTTTGATTTGGTCTGCTCTAGTTGAACCAAACTGTTTTGCTTAGTCCTAGTAAAAATGTGATATTCCAATAGAGGAGTACTATGTATTTTTTTCTACATTAAAATAATTATTAAAATGTTTATAAAATACTCCAATTTATGACATTAATACTACCATATAAACCTAAGTTGGTCTCATGCCTATCTAGTACTACTATGCCATCACTTTGAGGAGTAACTATTATGCTTGCCACCTTATATACTGGCCCGTATTGCCAAACTTTTAGAACAGAGACATCCATCACTTTCTTCCCCTTAATTTAGCTTGTAAACTTCTTCACTACAAAATTTGCTGGTGCATCACTTGTTTTTACAATCTTTTGAGTTTGTACTCTCACCCCAACATTTGAATAGAAATAGATTGTTTTCAATTCTTTGATTTTGAAATCCTAATTAGATTCATATCTCATTTGCATCCATTTTTGGAACTTTAGGTGCAAACTCAAATGACTTCAAAATGGAATACAAAATCTAGTTTTGAAATATTATGGAGTAATTAGGTTCTCTAAGGGAGTGTTTGTGATTACTTATACTTCAAAAAATGATTTTTTTAAAGTGATTTTGGATAAAGTACTTAATGGTAAAAGTTGATAGTGATTGAGAAAAAAGTGCTTCTAAAAGGTAAAAGTTGGTAGTGTTTGATAGAATAAGTGTTTTTTGTGTAATAGAAAAATTGAAAAGCAGTTTAAAACACTCTTTCACCTGCTTTCAGCTTTTAGCTTTTAAGTGCTTAACTTAAGTAGAAGATGTCATTTGAAAATACTTTATTTCATCTTTTTAAAGTCAATAGCTGAAAAGAACTTTTTTTAAGTTTTAGCAAATACTTCCTAAGTGGGCTGCTCGCGTGTTAAGTTATCCGGGCCTGTTTCTTTGTTTCGTTCTTGTTCTTAGTTGGCAAATTTGCTCCTCCATCTTTTCTGAATGCTTTGATCAAGCCATAACATCATTAATGTTAATTGATACTTTCACTCTAAGGAAATAACATGGGGTACACTTTTATTTATTTATAACTTTCTAATGTTCAACTCCCTCCTCTTACAAATACCTTCAATGGTCTTCACTTATTTGAACATGCCACCACACTTCTGTTTAAGAGTTACCACTTAATGACTTGCAAGTGCCTTCTGAAATCACAATTGTTTTGTACTCATGATTGAAATCTACAATGACCATTATTCTTACATTCAAGATTAGTCGTTTTATCTTACTCATGGACCAAAATATCACCGCCTCCTGTATGTTTAAAGTTTCCAATTGAGTTTATCATGTTTTATTGATATATACAACAACAACATTCTATCAAAGTCTTAATCCCAAAAAAGTCTGGGGATCATGTTTTATTGATAGAAGGTAAAATTTCCATATAAAATCTAAGCTACAACTAACAATTACAACTTATAATTACAACTTAAATGGGTTGAACTGTTGATAGTACACTTGAAACTATATTAAAACTCAAAAAGTGAATAAGAATATTATGAAACTTGATACTGTGTTATAGTTTCCAATCATGGAATTTCTTTTATCTATCATATCCTTGTTTTTATCTATCATATCCTTGTTTCTTCCCTTAGTTTATATTGTTTTCCCCACAAGCTATTGTACATTGTCATACTCTAATATTTTGAACATTGTTAATAATATTGTAAAGTTGACCATGAAACCCAAATAATCTTACTTCAAATGCAGGAGTTATTATAGATGCACGCAAGATAATTGTCGGGTTAAGAAACGCGTGGAGAGGTTAGCAGAGGATCCAAGAATGGTAATAACATCATACGAAGGTCGACATGTCCATTCCCCATCTCGCGATGATGATGATGATCTGCATTCGTCATCTCAACACAATCATATATTTTGGTAATCAACTACCAACACACACACATTTGAGGACGAGTGCAATATTCCTTTTAATTACCTTGTTGTGTTGTTTAATTGAGAGGTACATTGTACTCTACGAAACTTCTATATAGACATTAAAACTAATCTATTTAACCACAATACAAAGTTTTTTAATAGTAAATGCCAAATTTATATTAATTCAAAATAGATATCTGTGAGTACAATGGACAAAGAACATAAACAATCACTAGATATATATGTCTAACGATTAGATATGGAAATGATCACCCTTATAACAAGAGCAACTCGAATCACTAACCACCACTTAAACTTGAAGCTATCATTAATCACAAAGGTCCTCTTACTTCTAAGCAAACAGAAAAATCCTATACTATCAACTAAACCAACGAAAGAACAAGAATAAATATCGTAAAATTAAGCAAAAACGGTAATAAAGTAAACATATAAAAATATTAAAAAAATGAATGCAAATCATCTTCATAAACTCCATCCATAAGATTATTTTAATCCAGTGAACAAGCAACGATCCAATCAGATTGAGCGTCCACCACTTCAAAAAATTAGTTTGACTGTAAATCATATAATTAACCTTTATGAGAATAAAGGAAGGAAGTGGTTCAGGCGGAGACCGAGGCATCAAGATCAATTCAAAATAGATGAGAAGGCTGATGACAAACTCGTAGAATATTGGGTTTATGCCCGATAGCTTGATAAAATCGATAAAATCAAGAACTATGGAAATACTTGCTATGGAGGAACCTCATATTCATATCATCTCATTCAAATATATGTTATTAAAATGGATAGATGAACAAGCTTATAGGGGTTAAATTAATTCGATGCAAATGAATTTTCAAAAACAAATTTAATGCTGATGGCAAGGTGCAAACATACAAGGTGAGATTTGTGGATCAAATCTATAATAAAAAGAAGGAACTGGCTATAGTGAGACCCATTATCCATTTGCACAACTCAAGTCTATTGGAATTTTACGTGCAATAATTACATATATGATTATGGGATTTTACAAATCGATGTCATAGTTGCATTCCTTAAAGGAAACCTCAAGGAGGAGGTGTACATGGTACAACCTGAAGGTTAGTATACATGTCATATCCAAATAGTATGCAAATTGGATAAATTCATTTATGGGCTAAAGCAAGCCTCTAGGAGTTGGAATATCGATTTTGATCATTTGGGCTAAGTATCCAAATCATTTGGCTTCATTTGAAGCAACGAGGATGCTTGCATGTTTACAAAGCACATCAACAATGCTTGATCTTTATAGTCATATATGTTGATGACATTTTTTTTATCACAAGGAATCACATCCCCTCATTGAAATGTGTGAAAATTTGGTATCTAAAATGTTTATGATAAAAGATCCATGTGAATCGTGTTATATCCTTGAAATTATTCAGATAGAGTTAATAGGATGTTGCGTCTTTCGCAATTCACATATACTAACAAAACGGTACAATGATTTAGAATGGAAGAATCCAATGAGTCATGAGATATCATTTTCTAAGAGGGATAGTCATTAGATTGACGATGAAATCAAAATACATGAAAGGAATTCCATATGCTTTTGCTATTCGATAAATTATGTACGTTATGATCCAGACTAGGTCATATGTGGCTTATGCGCTTAATGTGGTTAATTGATATCAAAATAACCCAAGTGAGCGACATTGGAGTTCTGTTAAGACAATTCATAAGTATCTTAGACGAATTAAAGATATTTCTGGATTTATGGTGGTCAGGATGAAATAACAATATTTGATTACTCTAATGCTAGCTTCATGAATGATAATGATCGATGAGTATAAGTCACAATCAGGATATGTTTTCAATCTTAATGGAGCAGTAGTGGAATGGAAGACTTCCAAGCAAGAGACTACTGCGTACTCGACTACTCTGTCCCACCACATTGCTACATTAGAAGCAACTGAGGTGGTCATTTGGATGCACGAGTTTCTCAACGAATTAGAGGTGATCTTGAATGATTGATGTCTAATAACTATTTATTGTGATAATACATTGTTATTGCACAAACAAAGGAACCAAGATGCAACAAAAATAATGGACATGTTCCAAAGCACTATCGTGTGGTTCGAGAGCTGATAGCAAGAGGAGAAGCAACAATAGAATGTGTTCCCACTAAGGACAATTTCGCTATTCCAACCTTTGAGCTATGAATAAGACGGACTAGACATTTTGAGAATCTAGGTGTTAGATTCGATGGTGATTGGCACTAGGCCAAGTAGGAGATTGTTATATGTATGTCTTAGAGACAATCACTAGTATGATATATATGTATTTGAACAATAATATCCTAAGTAAGTGAGAGTCTGTATATCGTACCATCAGTTGTACGGTGTGCACTGTACAGTCGGTGGCATTTTGGTAATTTTAGTTGAAAATTGTGGCTTCATTTAGTTGAATATCAATGTACCTTTATTAAGCATCAAGCTTATTTTGTTGAGTATTAGGGGTCTAAATAAAAATGGTGCTCCTGGACCTGATGGCTATAATGGCGTTTTCTTTAGAAAATGCTGGGATATTATTTGCTGGAATGTGGTTAGTGCTGTCCAAGACTTCTTTCAAGGAAACCATATCCCCAAGGCTATGTCTAGTACTCTTATTGTCCTCATACCTAAGAAAAATAAAGTGTCAACCTTTGCGGATTTCAGACCTATTAGTCTTTCAAATTTCATTAGCAAAGTTTGCACAAATATTTTGGCATCTAGACTTAGCACGATTTTGCCCAGACTCATTTCGATTGAACAGGCAGGTTTTATGCATGGTAGAGACATTTGTGATCATATTCTTGTGGCTCAAGAGATGATCAATTCCATTGATAAGAAGGTGAGAGGTAATAATTTGGTGGTTAAGCTTGATATGGCCAAGGCATTTGACAGAATTTCATGGGACTTTATCCAGGCCACTCTTTTAAAATTTGGTTTCTCAGATATATTCATCAATCTGGTCATGGGTCATCTTAAATCCACTTATTTCTCTGTTCTAATAAATGGCTCCCCTAAAGGTTTCTTTAAGCCTGGCAGAGGAGTAAAACAGGGTGATCCTCTATCACCCTTCCTATTCATTTTGGCTACTGAGGCTTTTTCTAGAGGTATCAAATCTCTTATGTCATCTAATACTATTACGCCATATTGGCTTGGTCGTTTTGGACACCCAGTAACACATCTCTGTTTTGCGGATGACATATTAATATTTATGAATGGAGAAGCTAGGTCTATTTTGAATTTCAAAAAATTCCTTGACCTTTATCAGAATGCTTCGGGACAGACAATTAACTTTACCAAAAGTAATTTTTGTTGTGGTAAAACTTCCTTGGTTGGATTTAGAAGAATTGAAAGGCTTATTGGAATGACTAAGGTGAACCTGCCAATGAAATACCTGGGCTCAGCTCTCCATAAAGGTATTAACAGGATCAATTACTGTTCAGATGTTATTCAAGCTTTTGATAAAAGGTTGACCACCTGGAAACAAAGGAATCTCAGTCAGGGGGGCAAGGTTATTCTTATCAAGCATGTTCTGAATACTATTCCTCTACATATTCTAGTTGTGGATACTTTACCTAAATCTGTTATCAGGATTTTAGAGAGGAAAATGTCACATTTCTTCTGGGGTTTAAGGGATAATAAGAACAAATATCCTTGGTTAAAGTGGAGAGATATTTGTTTACCCACAACTGAAGGAGGGTTGGGCATCAGGTTGCTTTCTGATATTGAAAAAGCTCTTTCCCTTAAGTTATGGTGGAAGTGGAAAAGTAACAATTCAATTTGGGCCTCCTTTTGTCATTCCAGATATCCACGGGGTACTAATATGGTTCCAAAGAGTTCTGATTCATATATATGGAAGAGAATTTGTGCTACACATGATTTAGGAATCACACTTATTTCAGAAGGATGCAATGGAGAGATTATTTGGCTACCTGAAAATAAGGGGATTTTTACTCTGGCTTCTGCTTTCAAGGTGATCAGATGGTGCAGAGCTGAGACCTTCTCTTTTAAGCATTCCTGGCACACCAAGCAATACAATAAGATTAGATTCAATCTTACAATTTATCCTACTATTTGTCCATTTTGTAAAAGGGATTCTATTCATATGGATCATATTTTATTCAACTTCTCCCAGGTCAGGGGTGTTTGGGAATACTTTATGGGAATTTTTGAAATCCCTTATCCGGCTGGTCCTATCTCTATCAGGCAGGTTCTTATTTTATGGTGGTTGGAAGCTAGATATAAATCGATTTGGGATATATTTAAACACAACATGGTAGGAATCATTGCCTGGCATCTATGGAAGATTTATTGTCAAATGGTTTGGGGAGATTTACAGAATATACCAGCCAGTCGAGCTGTTATCCAACAAGTTAAACATTTTACTCAAGATTGGGCTGTTGCTAAGCTGAGCACGATTCGGTCTGTAGATGTTAACTCGTTTTTATACGAAGAGGGACTTATACCTGAAAATTTTAGGTGTCTGAAGCCCCGACTTCATCTTGTTAAGTGGAAGCCTCCTGTCCTTGATCTGAAGATGAACGTTGATGCCTCCTTCAGTTCGAATGGCGCGAGACCAGGCTGGACAATTCCTCTTTGCTCTCCATTTTCCTATATCGGCCAGATCTGCTTTAGATGCTGAGGTTGTTGCGCTTTTTGTATCAGTGAGCTGGGCGATTCAGCATGGTTACCGAAGACTTGAAGTGGAATCAGACTCCAGCGAAGCTATAGAAGCGATTGCTTTTGGGAATAATTTTGGGGGAAAAAAAGATATGGTGGACGAGATGACGAAATGGAAAGTTGCTGGTGTTGTTCAGTTCAGACATATACTGAGGGAAGGAAACTGGCCCGCTCATTTCTTATCCAGATGCAATTCAGATAAATTTAATGTTATTGACAAATATGTGGACATTCCTTGCCATATTAGGAAAGCCTTGCTTACAGATAAACTTGGTCTTAGTTATTTTAGATTTTATTAATTCTGTTGTATTTTCCATTGGGTCAGGTTTAGCCCCCCCAATGAAGACATTTTTTTTGTTCTCGTTTTTGTTTGTCCATGTTTTTTAAAGAGGTAATGCCTCTTTCGGAGAGGTTTTGGTTTGGTCCCCCTCTCTATTTGTATCTTTGACTGGTTTTTAATAAAATCTGACAAATGTTCCCCGGCATTTTCCCCACCGACATAGGTGGTTTGCCTTTCGGGTTTTAAAAAAAAGAGTATTAGGGGTCTAATTTTGAACATCGTGATCTTTGTTTCATACCTTCTAATTCACTTTTTTTCGTTTATAAAATATCTTAAATTATACGGAGTATCTATAAGCAACTCGTATGAGTTCCAATAGAATAAATTCCACTTTTGGTCTGACGAATATTGCACCGATTCCCCAATTGGTTCACGTCTTTGACCACTTTTGATACATGACTATTGTAATTTTTTTCATATATGGTCCTTCCTGCAATATTTCCAGTTGTTAAAATCCCCGGAGAAGGAGAACAAATGGTCAAGAAACATTAGTCAAGTACCAAAAGTGGACAAAGTGAAAGACGTGAATTAAATGTGGAAACGACATAAAACTCATAGGACCAAAAGTGGAATTAATTCAATATTGTACTTTTGAATATGCATTGTATAAAAATCGTAAGTACTGCTAGTTGAGTATCAAGACATTTTTCATTGAGCATCAAGTCTTCTATATTGAGCATTAGAAGTCTGCATTTAAATGTCGCGATCTATGTTGCCATAACTTCTAGTTCACTTTCTTATTCTTAATTTCTTCCTTTTTAATTTTTTTTGAAATTATATCTATATTCAACTGCTATGAATTCAATATGTCAATCTAATATGCAATCTAGTGTAATATTATACTCTTGAGATATGCATTGATATAGCATTTTAAAATGAGCTTAACACCCATACCAAATGACACACATAACTTACGAATTGAGTATCGAAAAATGTAAAAGATCATTTGAATTGTCTAATGTGCTCAAATATTCATTTGTGTGTACACATTTCATTGTAGCATTATACTCATTCAAATATAATAGAAACCCCTTTCTATAATATGCACATGTAGTATATTCTTTATTAATAATGTATTAAACTATCATTAAAGATGTGGAAGTAGAAAAAAATGTATTTAAATCTACTCAAAACAAAGAACTATTATGAAAAATAAAGTATACACACTCAATACTTTATTCAAGTGCAACAAAGAATAAACTGTAACACCGTCCCCAAATATATTTACCTTTATGTAAATTATGTATTGAACATGGCGTATCTAGTAATGAATTGACGAGGTTGTAAATTTTTGTTATCTCTTTTGCGTGAAGAGTAAATTCCACGTGGGGCCCACACTCGGAGCAGGGGTAATGACGTGCACTTGTCGTGAGGTGCACTCAAAATAAATATCAATACGACACTAATACGTAGTATAGCGAAGTAAGGTTCGTATCCACAGGGAAAGGAATATTTCTCTTTTTAATTAACTAGTAACAAAGGGGGGTTTTTAGATTTGATTTGATTTGATTAACACTAAGATGAATGACTTAAATGAGTTTAATTAATGAGAAGAATACTTGGCTTTGCTTTTATCCACTTAATGAAATGTTCGTCGATCCCGGTTATATCTTTAACTATCTTCCTCTCGAATACTCAATCGAGGAGTATATCCAGTTCATCGAGGGTAGTTATTAATAACGAGAAGCGTTCATTAATAAAACTTATTATCGAGTCAATATAGAACAAGCGCCGTATATTAACTTGATAGTAGCAATAAACTTAAGATGAAAACGATTGAGGTTGATAACCTCAACACAAGCGGTTTATTGGTTTAATCAATATAATTAATTCCCCTTAGATTATTAACCATGAGATGCATGCATTAATAATCCAAGTTTACTACCATGAAAGGACCGAATTAATAACAAGCGTATTAATCGACCGATTCTAGTATTAATTAATATATGAAACAAAACTAGTTGATCCTTTAAGTAATGTTCAAAATATTAATATGAAATATGAATAGGAATTAATTAATACTCAAGAAAGAATATTAAAGAAGATGAATCCTACTATAGTTAATATCAATAT